TTTGAAAAAATTATATTTTTGCAAAGATTTTTAAAAAGTGAAAATTTTGAAAAGTGGTATTTTTCAAAATTTCTCAAAAATAAAACATCTATAGTTAAACAGTAATGTATGTTCTTAATAAGTATGAAAATTCTTGAAAATCAAATAAATAAAATGGAGAGAATAATTATTTTATTAATATACGTGAAATAATCTTAAACGACATGTAAGAGTAACATTTTTATTGTTAGTTTAATTATGTGACTTGTTTCGAGCACCGACATCTCAAGGCGTTTTGAGATAACAGCTGATAGATAAATTAAGTGTATGCCTTTGACTCATTTAAGAACCGGGCAACAATAAAATAAGCAATGTAGTGTTCCCAAGAACCTAGCTTCTAGTTAGAATTGTTAATTTATTTGAAATGATTAGGCACGAATTAATGTGATTAATTAATTTCTTTTTCAAGAGAATTGAGCCATCCATCGTTTTTTGTAGAAAATTGGATCAAATAGTGTCGGAGTCGGTAGGGCCAATAAGTTTTCTCCACATCAGTATTTGCATGTACGTAGTAAACTGTGAAGAGTGGTCATGCATCATCACCCAACTAACAAGTCAAGTGCCAATCGAAGCAGAAAGCTATAGATTTTGATTTGTTTTCTCATTTATGTTACCTAAGAATGATTATTTATATATAATCTGAATTCAAAGGGTTTAATTAGAATACTTACTCTGCCCTCAGTTATGTACATAATTGCTGGGTGATGAAGAGATGTTATGTATTAAAAAAAAGTGGTACTTCTTCAGTTCCATGAAAAATGTCATTTTAGAGTTATTTGTTGTCTTACAAAAAACTGTTATTTTATGATTTTAACGTGATTTTTTGGAATTCATTTTCTCTTTTATCCTTCATTAAAAACTAAAATATATATTCATTTTTAACCATTATCATTTAGTTAGCATTTTGGTATGTTTACAAAATTTTAATCTGTGTGAAATATATCAAAATGATTTTTTTTTAATAAAAATTATGAAATGCTATATTTAAAATTAGAACCTGTTCAATAAAAATAATAGTCCGAATCAACAAAAGTGTTATTCAAAATCTCAATTAATTTTTCTTTTAATAATGTGTAAAATTGTATCAAATATTATTGAATAACAAGTTTTTAGTAAAAAAAAAAACCAGTAAATTTGGTGATCCTAAAAATATAATTATTACTTTACAAAAAATAAGTCGCTTTGACAAGTAAAAATTTGATGACTCTTAGAAACCTTTTAGCAAAAAAGAAAAAAAAAATTTGATGACTCCATTGTCTTTCAATCGGGGCTACTCAAAAGTCAAAACCCAATGGTTAAAAGTTAGAACTGTATGTATTATATATAAACTTAAGTGATTAAAAGTCAACTATATGGTTGGACACAATTAAAAATGTCACAAGTTGTCATTAATTAATTAATTTTATAATGTAAAGTTAGATAAAAATACTATTTTATATGAAAACAGCTTTCTTATTTGATTTTTCAAAAAAAGAAAAATAGAGAGAGCAAAAGAGAAAAAGGCGATTGTAGATCTAGGGTTACCCCTTCCGGCGGCGATCGTTGCCGTGTGCCGTGAAGGGTCACCGGTTTTTAGTTTTTTCTTTAGTCTATCTCTTTCGTGGTGTTTGTCCTTGTTGATGGTGGTGGAGATGGGTAAGTTCTTCTTTGCTGGTTGAGATGGTTAGGGTCTTAGGTGTGTTGTACGGCGAAGGATTGCTGTCGAGACGGTGTTGTGTCTGGATTCGGCTTCGTGTTTCGTGCTCGAGGGATTTCTGTCTCGGCGTCAGATATGGGGTTGCTCAGGATCTTGTTCGGCTGAGATATCGAATTCAAAGGTCTGTGAGATGGCAAAGCTTAGGGTAATGGGTGGTCTCGGAATTTGGCTTTGGTTTGCCAGATTAGGTCCTCGCGTTTTCTCACTTAGATTTTGGTTATGATTTCCAGTGATTTAGGCTTTCTTTGTCTATTTTGTGCCACCAGTTTGGATTCACCATTCGGTTTGGGTGACTTGTGTGCTTCCGTTTAGCAGCCTTTTCGGTTTGGTTGTTTTGGAGAGGATGAGCATGGTTTAGGGGCTTTTCCCTTGTGTACAAGAGGGTTTGGGTTCCTTTTCTCTTGTTGCTATTGGAGGTTTCGACGTAGTCTTTTTTGCTGGATGTTTCTATATTGGTCTTGGTTCGGGGAGAGGGTTTAGCTGGTATGCTTCCCGTTTTCTAGAGTTCTATTTGGTGGTTTGGCTCTCTTATCGGTCATATTGGTGTTTTTGGCTTGGTCTGGGGTGTTTATTGGATGACTTACATTTTTGAAGAAAATGTTCTCGAGACTCATATCCCTCGCCCAACAAAAATACTTCCTTTTCACTCGTTTTTTCAGAATAATTCTTCAATCGGCGATGTACATCAATAGCTAGCCAACTCCATTAATTTAGAGTGGTTTGTTGAATATCATTTGGAGATTCCTCGAGTGGATGGTTTGTTCTTTTTCTTGTTTGGTGGCATTGTTCTTCATGGTTTGCACCGGCTCTTCTGATTTATGCGTAGTTGTAGCCTCTGTCCGTCGTGGATATGGAGGTTGCCTTGCTTTGGCCCTTGCATCTTCGCCTTCTGTTACTGGTTTGGTGAGCTTGTGTTCGTATATGTGTATCTCCAGTGTTGATTGGTTGTATTTCTTTGCTTTGGTTCCCTTGTATTAGCTTTGCCTTCGGGTTAAGATTTGGACCTTGTTTTTTTTTTTGGACTCTTGGTTTTAAACTTTTAATTCCGCTTTGGATTAGTTTCGATTGGGTGTGCCCTGTTCCGGCTTTGATATTCGTTGTAATATCCTTTCTTTTGCAATAATATCATTTTAGATGCCAGAAAAAAAATATTTGATTTTTTCTTTTTATAGAATATTGAATAAGTTAATACACTACTAATATTTTAAAATCTTAGAAACAATTCGATTAGTAGCTCAAGTCATGTATATGAGTTTTGAAATTTGTAGTTTCGTTGGAGTGGCTTGGGTCTTAATTACCAGTTTGGTTTCGCCTTCCTCATCTCTTGTCTAAAGCTTTTTCGCTGTCTTCCTCTCCGATTTTAGCAGGTAAAGTAGAATCATTGTTTTAACCTATGCGGTCGTCTTCTCGACAGTATTTTTCTATATGTACCCGAACTTTTTCTTGATTCTTTGATGTGGAAGAAAGTGCTTTCGAGGCAGTACCTCGCCCAACTCTATTGCAGGTGTATCTCTTCATTGAGTTGTCTTCAAGTGGTCGAGTCATTTGCGCCCGCTCGGCTTTTCTTCGGAAAGTTGCTTGGGAGTCCGATGGGATGGCGTTTGGGTTTTAATGGTTTATGTTTCCTTTATGGCTTTCTCGCTTGCTCGGCTTATCTTTAGTTGTTAATCTTAAGTGTTGTTGGTTGGGAAATGTCCATGTACTTTTTCTTGTCTAAGTTTTTGCTTCTAGGGGACTTATGTGCCCATTGGCTCTCTCCCAGATAAGGGTTCGTCTTTTGCCGGGCTCCGTTGTATCCCGAAAAGTTTGACCATGTTAAATGAAACAAAAACTTAGATGGAAAAAAAAATTTGGAAAAAGGTTTGGAACACCCAAAAAAGCAACAATTTTTTTTTTTAAATTGGCTTCAGTAACAAACAAATATTTTTCGTCTCCGTTGTTAATCTCAAACTAACTTTATCTACAAAAAAAGAAAAAGAAGTTATGAGTTGCTTTAATATCAGCCATAATCATTATTGAAAGTGTGGTTCGGGCGTGTTATTTACTTGTTAGATGAGAATTACAAAGAGCAAATGCGCAAAGCAAACTTGAGACAGGAGATTTGTTAACTAGGATTTGGTTTTTCCTTTTTTTCCGGGGTTAGGTTCAAAACAAATCCATTATGACAAAAAAAAAACAATTACACAACTGCAAACGCATAATCAAATACAACTGTTTCGATCTATTGTTTTGTTTTTTTATGAGATGGATTCTTTAGCATAACTTATAACGTACAAGCTTCCAATCAGACAGATCTCATCTGAGTCTTCACTCCTGTCTTGGTAATTGGATACGTGTCCCTACATCAAGTATTATCTCAACAATTGCATTAGCTCTACTTAAGTTTCTCTGTCAACTCGATTAGTTTTAGTGTTTTTGTCTCAAACTCTAATCTTTTCCTGTTCTGACATCTTCTCAAATTGGTCAGCAATATACTGACAATTATTTCTATTTTATTGTTGTAAGAGTTTTTGTTCAAAAAAAGAAAAAAAAATCAATGAAAATTCTCTAAGGGC